TCCTTATGGCAGCTCAGGCAACTCGCAATATAAATATCAAAGCTGTCGACGACTCACAGCTCACCTACGATCTATAATAACCAAACGAACGAAAAAAAAGTAAAGGAATGAATTACTTTAATATAAGCGACGAAAACTTTAGATTCTAAATTCTGCGGTGGCCGCAGATGTTGTTGTTAAAGATCGGGACCGTTTCGGAAGATACGGACATCACCCATTATAAATACGTCGGGATCGCTCCAGGCGACTAGGACTCCATCTCTCCTACAGTGAACTCAAACATCCTGGTAATTACTCTCGTTTTAATAAACATAAACATGATTAATTCAAACTTTAATTTTCATTTCTCTCCATTACTTCCTCAGAGTCTGCGATAACCAAGTCGGCAAGTCTAGAAAGCCTTCGAGATCTACAAAACACCGCGGAAACTTGCCCCGCAATGGGCGCTTCTTACAACGGACGTATTTTCATACGTAGCTGTTGACGGCTGTCGAAAGCAAATGCGGCGGTCAACGCTTTACGGAATATCCCAAAATTGTTCTGGAGTCAAGGGAGGTTGCCCCTGAATCCAACAAACGTGCCCCTCCCTGCGCTCAGCTACTAGTATGCTTGGAACGGACTCACCGGCGGTAACAGGATCGCCTTGGGGAAGATGAGGATTAAGAGCCTGACTCCGGAATGTCTGGTGGACGGATAAGTTTCCCAAATATGGTGCCATTCCCAAGCGACGAGGTTAGGGCGGACTTGCTACAAGAAATATATATGTTGCCGACTTCCAATAAAATTTTCCCCGGGCCCTTTATGTTGGCATCCCGGTTATTCTAGGGACAAATGCAGAAATAAATATTTTTACACGACGCTAAATTATCTAACTCACTGTATCCTAATTTCCTACAGAGATATATAATTTTAACTTTTCCTACTTGCAACTATATAGCTCGTCGGTATGGCTACGATTGAGCTATGATTATTATTATGCTTCCAGGCATATTCCTTATCCTCTCCCGACTTGGTCATTGGACATGATCCAGGCCATTTAAGAGTAATCCCCGAGCGAACCGGGATTAATGGATTAACAAACAGCCAGATTGCCCAACAGGATTCCCAAAGAGGAGCGCCACCATAACCCTCGCCCTATCATGCTGCCAATCGATAAGGCCCTATCATCATCGAATCTAAAAGCAACACCAACCGGTGACCGGTGCGCTAATCAGAGCCAACCTCAGATCGTCTACTGCTCGAGCCTGGGATTCCAGGCAAACTTAGTGTTTTTGCCCTTCTTCAAAGCTTCGGAGAGTGGTGCCAGTGTAGCGAAGTTTTTCACGAAGCGACGATACCATCCTGCTGTGCCAAGGAAAGCTCGTACTTCCTTAATGGATCTCGGTTATGGGATCCTCTGAAATGCCGAAACTCGCCTGGGGTCCATGCGCAGCAGTCCGTCATTAACTCTAAAGCCGAGGTACGTTAAAGCAAGGGACAATGTAAATATTTTAAGTAACATTGTCATGGTAGGGAGGGTAAAGACTTAGGGAATTATTAACATCCAAATTCCCAATACTTATCAGAATCTGTACCTTATCTTCACACGTGTCGGCGTGTATTAGTAGTATCAATATAAAGTCATTTCATTAATCGATAGTCCAGTTTAAAATATTGTTTTTGAGTAAGACGCACTTATTAAAATGTAGTAGCGTTTCGTACTATCCTAAGCTAAAAGAACCCCGACCTACGGCGAGCTAGGCCCGAGCATAGCAAAAGTGCGCATCCCTAGCGAAGGAAGTACAAGGTCCTCTTTATAAGTAATTACAACCCACTATTAAAAGACCAACTAGTTAAAAATCTGTCGAACTACGTACACTACACATTTTTTGGCGCCCAAGGCGAGGAGCACGACAAGTAATACACATTTTTGAAGCCAGACGTGAGACCCGAAATGTACTACACATTTTTGGCTCAGACGTGAAGCTCGACAAGTCCTTAACTTGTAATAGCACACTAAGCTCTAAAGTAATCCATCCACAGTTAAAACACATGAGTTGCTGCATCTTAAAATCCCAAACAGAACACAACTCCGATACGAAGTTCGCAGGCATGAACAGTTTTATAACAATCTCAGGAACTTGGATTTTTTAGGCCGATTTTTAACCCAGCTGATTTCAGGCTCTGGCTACGCGGAACAGGTACTTCAGGTACCGCTGGTATTACCCAGTCCATCAGCCGAACCAAGCGTTGCGCTTCGTTGCATAGCCCGAATGGCATCATCCTGAACTGATACATCGGTCTCCCAGGAACCGTGAACGCCGTGTATTCCTTAACGCAAACTTGAGAACTTGTTGGCCAGATTTTATCATCGTCGACAACAGGAAGAACTTTTGATCTCATCTGGAGGTCGTGCCCAGCCCCGAACGCTCATTTATAGACATTATTTTGAATCAACAATTACCGATAAAAAAGTTACTAAATAAATCAATTTAATCTAATAACTATAAATAAGTATAGATTTCATAAATAAGAAAAGTAAAGTAAAGAATAAATTACACAATTTAAAAAATTATACTATTAAAGTAAATAAGATATAACACGCTATAAATCAAAATAAGTAAAAAAAAATTTTTAATTTTAAATATATAAATACAAAAATAAATACATTTAAACAAATGATAATAAATACCTATACAAAATAGAGATTAATGAAATAAAACAGAACACTTACTTTACGGACGGAATTTGTCCGGCGCATTTCCTCAAAACTCGGACCTTCCGTCGCTCACTTACCGTTCGTCAACTGGACTAGCTTTACTCTTGTTGATAACTGCCAGTTAGGGACATCGGCTGACCTACAGGTCCTGTTCGTTTTTCCTAATCTTCTGCATGGAGCAGGTGTGTGATCACGATGGTTGAACTTATCATAGGATGATTACCTTAAAAGAGTAAACGGAGAACCAAGTGAGACTAACAGGCATAAATAATTTTGGACAAAAGCGTGATTTCTCTGTTTTATCAATCGAGGAAGACAAAAAAAACTTACTGTTTCAAATTTTTTGGGGAGGCCATCATCAAAGGGATTGTACGGGGTCATAGGAAGACATCTATAAATAAAGTGTCAAGAAACCGGACACCGGACAAAAGGAAAATCGTTTGTTTAACTATGATAAACGCACGGAAGTAAATTACTTCCAAAAGAAGATGAGGAAATAATATGGTGTTGTTTTTCGTGGGTAGTGAATAGGCTTACAATAGTCTTCAAGGCGGCGACTGTCTTCGTGATGGATCTAAATGCCGTTCGGTCACGTGGTTGTCCTGCCGATGGGCGGCTCGCTGGAGGGTGCGGGCGTGGATTTGTACCAAATCCCGAGGTGGCAGCCCAAGAATCTACTGGGCTCCCGGAGGTGAGTTTCTCAATGTCTGTGAACCGGACAGAAGGAGAGGCCGTTCAGACCTACCATTTAGTGGGGAAAGGTTGAGGGGCCTTTTAGGTCTACCAAAGTGAGAATGGTTTGAGAGGCCTTTTAGGACTACCAAGGTAAAAAAAAAGTTGGAGAGGCCTTTTAGGTCTAAAAAGTAGCGATTAGTTAGACTTTAGGAAACTGAACCAGAAAACCGTAGACGATAAGGGTATCTATACATAGGTATCTATAGGTATTGTATACCTACAATTTTGACAATACTGTCGAATATGGACAAGTCGAAATTTTTTACGACACTCGACCTCAAGCCAGGCTTTCACTAGATAGAGTTGGCAGAAAAGGACAGATAGAAAACAGCGGCAAATACGAATTCTGTAGATTGTCATTTGGGCTTAAGAATGCCCCGAACATTGTCCTACGAGGTGGAATTTCAATAATATGCTACGTGACATACACGTATATGATGACGATATTCTCCAAAACAAAAGTATACCATATTAAGAACGTGGAATGGGTTATAACAAAGCTCTTAGGGGAAAAATAATATCAACCAAAACATTGTAACACTTTTTGCATTGCGCATATAAACACTGGACTACAGTTCAAGTGTAGTGATCCTCGATTTCTGAATGGTCAGCATTCTTACGCTGCCCAGCTACAGCCACATACATGAATATGAATGGCATAAGCATATGCATACATGGATAATACATGGGTTCCATAGCTTTTCAAAAAAACCTATAAGTAATATACCTCAGCCCCTCTGTTTCTGTCCTTAGCAGAGGCGCAGCCCTTCGATTGAAGGCTTTGTTTAAGCAAAATATGTGACAAATAAATACCCAAAATATCAAAAAGGGTTTTTGGATTACTATGGAGATTATCCAATCAATACAACCACTTTAAGAAACCATTCGATTTGACAACGGACGCATCAGGTTTTGGTCTAGGAGCAGTATTATCTCAAGGTGGCCGACCGATCACAATGATGTCACGCAACCTGCGAAATAGTGAAAAAAAAAATTATGCAATCATCGAGCGAAAGCTCCTTGCCATAGTTTGGGCACTAAAAAACCTCCGGTCTGACATGTACGTAGTAAAATGCTTGCAGATCATTAGCGATCACCAGCCACTTACCTTTGCCGTCTCGGACAAAAACCATAACGCGAAACTAAAGCGCTGGAGAGGAATTATCTACGATCACGGCGCAAAATTGGGCTACAAATCAGGGAATTAAAATCTGGTGGCAGACGCGTTGTCTCGCCAAAACAGTAGCGTTATAGAAGACGAACCAGGAAAAGATGTAGCAACCATAAACAACGAACAGTCAATGACGTACACCGTAAAGACAACGCACAACCCGGTGAACTATTTTAGAAACTATTTTAGAATTTGAAAAACGAAACAGCTTCTCGGTAGACACATCCATCCAAGCAAGCGGTAAAAGAAACACCAATATAACTTCCTTTTGTGGGGGAATTCCTTCACATCGACATATTTTCAAATGATGGAACCCTTTTTCTAGCCTGCGTTGATAAATTCTCGAAATTCGCCACAGTGCAGGCCATCGCATCAAGAGCTAATGTAAACGTAAAATTCCCTTTTTTACACATAATCAATTTATTTCCAAAAACAAAAACCAAGAAATTATTAAAACAATTCTACAAAATCATTTCAATATCACCATTTCCAACCTCTACATAGCACCTCAAATGGTCAAGTAGAATGTGTCATAGCAGTCTGGTAGAAATAGCCAGCCAGTCTTGAAAGAAAGGGAAATGAAAAATGTATTTCCAACATCGCTTGGACACCTACTTTATACAAAGGTAACAAGGTTAGTTGCGACTCACCATAATACGTATGTATTTATAATGTTCTACTTAATTCCTTAACATGTATGTAACGTGATTAAGACCATAAGTCTGTTCATTTTTTCCATGTCCGAAATCTGTGTTTTCGGAACTTTTAAAGAATGCTGCGATTAGGCATGCAGAATCTCAATAGGTAAACGCAGCTTAAGTTTGTTTCAGATCGTTGCCATGCAAACTCCAACGCTCGCAATCAATCCCAATGTCCAAAGTTGACACTAAGCATGCAGATTCTAGTAACGATGGTTGTCACGCTCACTTTACCGCCCAAAACTATGTTATTTTATAATTTTTTTATTAGACATACAAATCTATCGAATCGAACATTTTTTCGCCACGCCCACAAACAGCCAATAAATTGACACGCCCACAGACATGGCCAGATCGATTCGGCTATTGATCCTGATCAAGAATACATATACTTTATATGGTCGGAAACGCTTCGTTTTTTTTTGTTACATACTTTTCAACGAATCTAGTATACCCTTTTACTCTACGAATAACGGGTATAATAATTTCTTGTCACAAAACATGGTAAAATAACTTTTGTATGTTGAAGGTGCGATCGGCACTAGCATTACTTGGTCAGGTGGTGTTTTTCTGTCTGAATTTAATATATAATAATTTAATAATCTCTGAAAAGATTTTATTTTTCTGTATTAATTCTGTTTGTTTTTTTTTTTAGATTAAAATTACAATTTTCTAAATATTTACATAACAAAAGCAATAGTAAAGAAAGTATATTACCGCGGGCGGGCATAATTCATCAAAAATTCTATGGCCACACTGATTATAGGTGTTTATTTTGTTTGAATTTAATATATTATTACCTTATGGTACTGATCTCTGAATTGATTTTATTTTCCTGTATTAAATACAAATAATTATAATAATTTATTTATAAATATTTATTTATATTTTATATCCATACAAAAAACAAAGGTAAGGAAAGTGTATTTACCGATGGCGGACGGATTTATTTTTCAAGAATCCCATGGCCACACTGATTATGTGAACTCATAACAACGTGTTTTTTATCAATTAAAATGCTTTGGAATTTTTTCTCGTTTGCAAGAAAATGTATTACTAAAAACTTTTTTTATTAATTTCACGTCTGTGTGGATTATCCTTTTGAATACTTAATTCAATAACAAATAAAAAATTATTATCTTAAAATTATGTCCTTTTATACGAGTAAGACGGATGTGACATCTATTTTAAAGTCGTTTTCTAGTGTAAAACGAAATCAGGCAAATGCCGTGGCTATCAACAAAGTTCGATTTTCCACACCCAAAGAGAAAGGCCTCGCAGAATCAGTGCGCGTAGCCCTAGAAGATCGAAATTTCCATCTGGTCAAGGAGTTCACATACTTCCTCCGGGAAGCAGAACTTAACGTAAGTTAAATTTACCCACATATGCGTTAATTATTCTTTACGTTTTATTCAACTTCAAAGGATGACGAGCTTGTGTTAATCATGAAAGATGCTAAACGAATTGTTCACAATTTAACTCCGGAGTTTGTAACCGTTGTGGAGGCGTTACTGTCTCTTAACTGGAAGAAGAGAAGTTTAGAGATAATAGATGCTTATACTGAATTTTGTATAGAATTAATGGTGGCTCACAATAGATATTTACCTATTGGAGTGTCCAAACTAATTGTCCATTGGATTCCTGGAGATTTGGATGAATCCGAGTGGGTTAACGGATGCCCTTCGGAACATACGCGAAATGAGTTGAAACCCATCCATAAAGTACTGGATCGCATCCTAACTGCCGTGCCAATGGCATTTGATATTATCATAGATGCCATATCCGCCAAATTCCCCTATTTCAAAAAACCGTATCATGTGACGGCAGGGTATCTGTATAACGTGCTTTGGTTATTAGAGTACAAGCCTATATTCGAGGAACTTGTTTTTCAACTTGTTTTGCAAAAGTAAGTTCTTTATCATTTATAGACTTATTAATTTATACTTTACCAACACTCAGTATTTGTTGTTTTTAAGTCAAATTATTTAAAAATTCCAAAAATGTACACGGATTCGAATTTCCCGGAATTTTTCCAAAAAACTTAACGGAATCGAAATTCTTTCTTTTATATATCTGTTAGCATCAGACAAAAAATTACGGTGAATTCGAATGCAGAAACCCGAAAATTTATTGACACAGCAAGGTGGTGTGTGTACTATTAAAAACAAGATAGTCGAGTTTCTCGATTATTAGATACCCGTTACTCAACTAGTGGAAGTGCTAAAGAAAAAATTAATAAAATAAAAAAACTTAAAAATTATTTAAATGTGTGGGCGTGAGAGTTTTGTGCGATTTGTGGGCGTTAGAGTGGGCGTCTACGTCTCTGGATGCTGCGTGCTTAATCTCAACATTCTAGCTTGAGATCAAGGCGTTCATACGGACATGGCCAGATCGACTCGGCTATTGATCCGATAATATTATTATTAATATTAATAGTAATATTACACTCAAAAAATTTAAGAAAGATCTTCTAAATAAAAGTATCTATTTACACCATATTATTTATAATCTGATATCCGTACAAAAGATGCGACTAAAACAAGTTTTAGAGAAATTATAGTGAAACTTTTAGTCTGAAGGTTTGATTCAAAACTTTATTTTTAGAGTCCTGGAAATTTGTATCTGTGCAACTCGAAATTAGTTATACTACTATTGGAAAACTCCGCTAGATAAACCATAAACGAATGTTAACTAAAAGTAACAGGTAGAAGGAAGCGTGTCCGACCATATAAAGTATAGCGGAGTTGATCTGGCCATGTCTGCCCGTATGAACGTCGAGATCCCCGAAACTATAGGCATTGAGAATCCAGAGACATAGACGCAGCGTGAATGGTGAGAAATTAAATATTTTGATAAAGCGTGTCAATTGAGTAACTTATATAAAGGGTTTATTACTTTGAAAAATCTTATCCTATTCAAAAAACTGAATAACTTCGATATGTGCATATCTTAACACGAAAAATAACGGAACCAGTAAAGTTTGAATGAGAAAGTAAAATAAATTTTTGACAGAAAAATTTGTTGGACTACGCTGATAGAGTAATACGTGCAACTTTTATTTATTTATTTCAGGCTTTTATTATTAGATGTTAACGCTCCAAAAGATGAAATTGAATTAGAAATTAATGATCAGGATGACAAAATGGAAGCGGATACGTTGTTTGAAATAGACGATGTATTTGTCGAAAATTTAAACAAATCTGGAACATCTGTGAATCATCCTGTTGGCAAAACCTTGGATGTATGCCTATTCCTGCTTTATAAGTTTTTTGATGGCAAATGTCGCCTTAATGAAAATACTAGCGACCAACAGCGAAGGACTGCTAATCGATTATTTAAGATGTTACTTTATTTATTTGACGAAGTTTTATTACCCAGCCACAACACACATCATGTGCAATTCATCATTTTTTATGCAACTAGTCTGCGGTCAGTATATTCCGAAGCTTTTCTTGATTCGTTATGGGTGAAAGTTCAAAACCCGAATGTATCGGCCGTAATTCGTCATACTGCGGTGGGATACATGGCTAGCTTTTTATCCCGCGCCAGGTTTTTGCCACTTAGGTAAGAAAGTGTATTAATAATTGCTATACAGGACTTAAAACCCAAAACTTACATAATTTTTTAGTTCTGTTATTTTCTACCTAAGAGAATTGACAAAATGGGCTCATACTTACATAGATGACTCGGATGCATATAAGCAGAATTGCTCTCTGAAAGCCAATTTGGTTTTTTATTCTGTTTGCCAAGCTGTGTTCTATTTAATTGCATTTCGCGCAAGGGATTTGACTGCCAGTTCAAAAGGTAAGTTTAAACACTAATTAATTTTAAACGAATTCATTTTAAGCAAGTCATAACAAATTGGGATATTATTGGAGTCATATTTGTTATGCTCAAATACTTGGCTTTTCGGGGAATATCGAAAGCGTCTTGAGTACATATGGGTGATTAGCGAGCTTTTACTTTCGCACAGCCAATCCTGCTGCATATTAACCAAACTATTGATTTTCAGATTTCGAGAGATCTGCAAATCGCCTTCTGCGAGATAAATTGCCTTCGCAATACATGGCAGTGGTGGCCGTCCACCTAGCTTCTTGATTGAAATGATTGAAATAATAAAGTAGAAATTATTAGAGAGGTCTTTGGTACCCGTTACTCATACGGTGGAAGTGCGAACTATAAATTTCAACATTTTCTGAAATACCCGTTACTCATACGGTGGAAGTGCGAACTATAAATTTCAACATTTTCTGAAATATCTGTAGAAATTGGGTACAAAAATAATAAAATGAAAAAAAAAAACTTAAAAATTTTGTAGAGTGTGGACGTGACAGTTTTGGTCGGTTTGTGAGCCTTAGAGTGGGCGTGACAAAAAGTTGTAGGCAAATCTATAGAAATTTACAAGATATTTAAAAAAAATGAAAAAAATATCAACATTTTGTGGGTGTGAGGGGGAGTGGCAACATTTGGAAACAAGTTTGTATTGTCTCTGTCTCTGGAAGCTGCTTGCTTAATCTCATCATACTAGCTTTTGTAGTTCCTGAGATCGAGGCGTTCATACGGACATGGCCAGTTCAACTCGGCTATTGATCCTTATATCGAATATATATACTTTATATGGTCGGAAACGTTTCCTTCTGTCTGTTACATACTTTTCAACGAATCTAGTGTACCCTTTTACTCTGCGAGTAACGGGTATAATAAGTATGGGGTGATTAAGGAAGGTCCCCAGGTCTTCTTCAATGGCTTGCTCAGAGCAGAGCGGCGAGAGTTTGTTTTCCAAGCGTTTGTTTGACTTTCAGAAATTTTTATAATCTTTTCTTAATCTTTACCCGTCCTATCTTTATTAAATTTTTCCAAGCTCCTATTCTGTGTTTGTTAAATTTTATGGCTGGTTTCTTTTTCGAAATCTACTGGTGTTGAGTGTATTATTTCTATTGGTGTTTTGTCTGTTACTAAATATGTGGTTCTCTGGTTATGGTTCTATAATTGGCAGTTGCTAAAAGAATTACCTCTGTTGTGTCGTTTATCCCTTTTTCTATTTTCAGTCACCGGGTTAATTCTTCGAGTGTGCCCTGAAACCTTTCTACATGTCCGTTGGAAGTACAGTGTAAAGGTGAAATGCTAAAACTGTTAGGGACAGATTTAATAGTTTCTGAATTTAGTGACCTTTTGTTATCACAATAGATGGATTGTACGTTTGTAAAGAAGTTGGCTACATTCAATATTGGTCCCCAATTGTCCTTGATGCAATTTCCTGTTCAATAGCGAATTTTGAAAATTTTTCGACACATGTAAGGAAAAGGGTCCAATCTGTTGATAATATATCGATGTGGAGTATTTCTCCAGCATAAGAAGAAATTTCCGTCTGCCCGATTTTATGTTTATTGGGGTGTCGACTATACTTGGCCAGATCTTGCAGTTAGATGCCGTTTCCGTTGTTGGGCAAAGCATTTTTGGGAAGAAGTAGTCTTGCAAACATTTGTTTTACATTTTCTTGGGCCCTATTGTGCACGGCTGTGACGTTTTCCTTTTGTTCCGTTTTGTCTGTAATGTCTTGCACCACATGTTTTGAATATCTGAATGAGGTATTTGGGAATGCTTCAATTGATGAGTGTTGAATAAATGCTAGCTATTGAAGCGTGCGTTGACGACTCCCGCATTTACCACATCCTTAATGGCTTTCCCGGTCGGAAAATCTTACTACGTGCCCTATTTGGTTTTTAAAGAGAATAAAGTTATTCATTGAAGAATTTTTAGTATGAAGCAATTAATTGGCTTGTCCGTTGTATTGATGGTATAGGTCAGTAATTCTTCGCTATGTTTTGTGGCTGCGTCCGACTCGTATGTGTCTTCACAAGCCTTTTCGTTTTGGCGAGATAACGCGTCTGACTCGTATGTGTCTTCTAATGCGATTATGTTTTGGCGATCTGCTACAAGGTTTCCTATTCCTGGCGTGTAAATAAGTTTCACCCCATAGTCCTTAATAATTCCACTCCAATGGTGAAAGTGAGTGGTTGATAGACGGTGTAGAAGCGCAATTCTTTTACACCGTATATTTAATTACGAAGGTTGTGAAGCGCCCAAACTATGGCGAAAGGCTCTCGCTCGTTGGTTGCAACATTTTTTCGTTATCACGCAGTGTGCGCGATATCATTGTAATTTGGCGCTCATCCTGACATAATACGGCTCCAAATTCGTACCCAGATGCATCCGCCGTTAAATTGAACGGTTTTTTAAAGTCTGGGTATTAAAGAAGAACGTCTTTTGATGCCTTCAAAATGTTGTTTTTTGTTCCTCAGTCATAAATTTTTTTTTTTTTTACTGATACTTGTTTGTTTTTCCGTTTTCGCCTTTAAGGATTCCCGTTAGGGGTCCTGCGATTGACGCGAATTTTTTGATAAAACACCTGTAGTAACTTGCTAAACCCAGAAAGAATCTGAGGAGAAAAGAATATAGTCGAATTCGAAGGGATAAGGAATTTTATCATCCACGGTTATTGGTTTGATTTCCTAAGGTCGATAACCAACCGGTTTGTTTTTAGCCCGTTTTAGTCAAATCCCTTTTTGTCTACAACCCAAGTTGGGTTGTTGTAGGGTGATCGGCATGGCCCTATTACTTACGTTTGTTGTTTAACCTCTCCGTTTATAAATTCCGTTGCGGGTATGATTTAGAGTATACTGGCACTCCGTCTGTTTTTATGGTTGTCAAAGGTGGCTTTTATTGCCGTTGGGACGTCTTCGTCGTCTATTTGGATAAAATAAACGTTTTCGGTTTTGGAGAATTCGAATTTTTCCACCTTAGTAATGGGGTGGGGTAGTATATTTTTGGTAAGGTGGAGTCTTGCATTCACTTCTTTAAGCAAATCAAGCCCGACGATTCCATCAAAGTCTCTAAGAAAAAATGTGAAAAGATTAAACAAAGAAATTAGGCACTTTTGTTCTATTTTTGTATGGCCATGAATTGACTTAACGCTAAATGGTTTTTCTGCTGCCGCAATGTCTTTAAGCCCTGGGCATGGTCAAAGACACTAGAATAATAACGCCATACGATTTTTTTGCACACGATTTTTTTGTGCTGGCTCTATAGCTGACTTCAGGCTCTCTCGAATTTTTGTTCAAGAGCCAGAGAGAGAGCGTTCTAGAGCCAGCAGCTCTCTTGTACGCATACAGCGACAGCCGCTCACTGTATATGTGCACACGTATGCTCATATATTGTAAATTTATTCCTTTCACTAAATCAAATATGCCCTTCAGATGGGACTTTTATGGGACATTTATGGTCTTTCAATTCAATATTTGTAATCGATTGCCACCATGTAAAAAACTCTAATTTTCCATTGCCTTAACATGTTAATTATATAAATACATAATAGAAATAGTAATAGGTGAATAAATGTACATAATAATACCTAATTAATTTCATAAATTACTTTATACTAGAAAATATGTCGTTAAAGTATTCAGCTCGAGACGTGGAAAATATATTTGAACTTAGTGCGTTGGTCCTGCCTCAAGAATTAAATTTAGCAATAAACAGGTTGCATATGAAGTTTTTAACTATTTAGTATATTTATTAGTACAAATTACTAAAAAAAAATATGCATCCTTATGTAAATGATCAATTTTCAGTATTTGAAATGCAAATATTGCGTATACATATTACATATTATTAATAACTAGCTTAATTAATTAATTAATTAATAATTATTTATTATTAACTTATTAACTATAACTTAACTAATTAATAACTAAATTTAACTAACGAATATTAAAATAACTTCTTAAAAAAAATAATAGTCACGTCATCAATTTTTAAATAATATGTATTTTATTAGATCATATTACAACTAAATTGACCAAACCAATAACTAAAATTTTTATCTTAAATCAAAATTCATTTCGGACCGAAAATGCCTTCTAGCCCAAGTAAGCACACATATGTACACACTTTCTTGCTTACTGTTTTCACTCACACAAGCAAGTGAATTCTATTTTTCGATTCTTATGCTCTCAATTTTACGCGAGCAGGGAGAGAGCAATTATTGCCGCCACCAAAGAAGTGGCTGCATAGTGCAAGTCCAATGTATGGCCGTTACGCATCTTATTATTCTAGTGTCTTTGGCATGGTGCTATGTAATTTTTTGAAGTGCCAGTATCGATAAGTAATTTAACTTCCCTCCCTGCCAACGTACGGGTTATATACGGTAACAGGGATTTTACTCTAAAAAATTGCAGACGTCATCTGTGTCGTAGTCGCCTTCTATTTGCTCAACCCTCTCATGGTTATATTCTTTCTCCAATGGCCTTTCTTCTGGCATATAGTTAATTTTTCGTTGAGTCCGTGTGTACTGGCCCCATTGCTGCCTGAACCGAGATGAGTTATCAACCTCCATTGGTTCAGGGTGGGGCTGGCTCCACCTGTTTCCAGCATACAGGCGTGACTGCTGCCGAAACGAGCCGGTTTAATGGTTTCCTCCCTTTGGGTTTTTATGAAGTGGGGATTTTTTTTAATTTCCCCTAGGTTTCTGACCCTGCTCATAGTTATATGAATTTAGCTGTGGTGCATTTCTCCACCCGAATGTTCGTTGAGTGTTTGGTCTGTTCATTTTTTCTTTCTGGAGCCTGGCGAAACTAGCCGCGAACACACTCCTATCGGCCTCTTGGGCCAGGGCTAAGGCTGTTGGTAGATCCCGAGGCTGTGCCGGGAAAACAGCTACTTTCAGTGATTTTTTTAGGACTGACACGAACGCATGCATGAACGCATCGAACGCATGTTCATTTAAAACAGCCGCTGCGGCCGCTTCGTCAGTCATTACGATTTTGTTTGTTAGAAGTGTTAATTTCTTTTCCACTTCATCGTTATACTTACATAACATAAAAACCCTTGGCTTGATAGGCTCAGTTCTTGCTGAAGAACATGTGTCGGGGTTTTGTCCGCATACGTAAAGTCGAGGAGCGCCAGTATGGCATCAAAGTTTAATACCGTATTAAATGAGGATAATACGGCTTCCGCTGGCCCTTTCACTTTATTTCTGAGAATTGCAACGGCCTGATAATGTCGGCTGCTACCATTATAAGGCTCGAATACCTTGTAGGCCTGCCTCCAGGAAACATGTTTCCCTTCGAATTCTGGGACAGATTTTATTATATATATATATTATATTATATATATATATCATTATATATATATATATATATATATATCATTATATATATATATCATTACATTCCAGTCCTGAGTCTTGAGTCTTTTTTTTAATAATTTAAACTCTCCTCAATTTTTCGCCGAACTGCATTTTTTGTCGCCTTAAAGCGGCGCTGATAGCTGCCTCCAAACTAGCGATGTGGTGGTGCTCCATTTTTTGTTTTTGTACTTCCCGCGACTGTAAACTTGTTGTTGCTCTCTCTTCTAAATCCGTTTCGGATCTCTTAACCCTTGCTGATAGCAGATTTTTATACTCCTGAATTATGTCTTCCTCTGACGATTCGCTATTGTCGTCTCTGGGCATGAGTTAATGTGAAGAAATAAATTTCTTTGTTTGCGAAAAACTTGTATAACATTTTCTGTGTATTTTTGTGAAAGAATAATTTAGAATATTGTCATTCTCTTCCCAGTGTAGCAGGAAAAATGTCCTTAGTACAATTTTGAAATTACATTCGGAAGCTCTGTATTGTAATCAACCAATTCCATAAATATAGTTTTTTCTTGTTGCACAGTGATATCAGTTCTCTTCTACAATTAATGTTTCTGTTTTGTTTATTTCTGTTCCAGATCTGCTCTTCCTCCAATCCCTTCAACTGTCGCGCCTTGTCATGTGTCATTTAAATCCTCTGCGGTATTGTTTAGCTCCAGTGGCAACAGCATTCGCTGGTGTTACAAGAACTTACCAACTGGCCTATTGTCATACTGTTTTAGAGCGCAACGCTCGCCGTAAGCTTGCTACAGTTTACGGCCATGAAAAATGCATGCCCGATGAGACGCTGGAATCGTTTTTCCCCTTTGATCCTTATGTACTTAAGTTGTGAGTATACCCTATATACCCTATACAATTCTGGGGATATAAATAATACGCTTTTATTCATTTTAAGATCAAAAAAATATATTGAATCCATTTATATGGTTTACCAGAGCAATGACACGGATGAGTATGTCTATGGGTCTATCAAATATGACCGTTCCAGAAAACGTGGTGACTCTGAAATGCTAGAGGAAGACGAATTCCTTATAGCGGACAAACGCCAAAAGAATTTCGAACTGTCTAAAAGTCAAGAATTTGAAAAACAATTTCACTTCGGATCCTCGCCAGGATTTTACAAATAAGTCGTACTTATGTTTGCTTCGAATTACCAATAAAAATAAATTAGAAATCTAATAAAGTCCTGTACTCTATGCTTCTGTAAGGTTTTGTTTGGGGGTATATATTTTTTTTATTCGTCACTGTAGGTGCCATAGAAATAAAGGGTAATCTAACGCCAAACAAGTTAAATAATTTTGCTAAGACGCAAACTAATTGCAACCGTAACTTCTAATACTTGTATAATATATAAAATAATCACATTTTACACTTTCATGAACAAAATAAAAAAAAAAAATTTTAATTGCAATTGCAAATTATCGATTGGCATCGTAATTGGCAGGCAAATAAGGAAATTATAAAAATCAACACATTTTTTAGAAGTTTGTGATTTTGGCTCTCATTAGAGAGCGATAAATATGAGAGATACATTTGGGTATGACAAATATTAAAGAAAATTCACGAACAGTTCTAAAAATTCAATTTGTACAAAACTGCTACAAAATCGACGTCTCTAAAAGGGGGGTGTGTGCTAACGACCGTAGCATTGATATCGTCTACAAACGTAGATGTAAGGGGATTGTGATCTGTGTAGATTTTTACACTTAACCCCCTATTTATACTTACTTTAACTTTTAAATAGCTCATTTACATTTGCGACCAGACATTAGGAATTGACCCTTAGATAATACGGTCCTAGGCGAGACAGATATTCTAAATTAGTATTGACGTGGGAGCTTGTAGTTTTGTATAGGCGTAAGGTTGAAGATTGGCCACTGTTCAGGGGTTTCATCAAACGTCATACGAACCTGTAGCTTGCGAAAATATGGCGAATTCTGCGCTGAATTCGAATGTGTGAAAACATTTTGACAGGTGTTACCAGCGGTGCGGTAATGCGAAGCGAATTATGATACAAAACTTACACATAGTTGTATGAGGTTGTTTTTACCTATCGCCGCTTGTATTTTTGCATGCATGCTCCAGTTGGCTAGTTTAGCAAGTAAGGCATAATGGTTGATCCGTTTATATTGTATTATTATATTGAATTTTATTCAAACTCGGCTGGTGCCTTTTTTGTAACGACACAGGCTCACCCTTGTCATTCCCTTGTGTGAAACACTTATTTATTTACTGTTGGTTATTTTTTTAAGTTCTTAAAAGAGAAAATTATGTTGGATAGATATATATATGTATATGCGACAGGCTTGATAACAGTGCCTTTTGCGGTAGTCGTGCACTCCGATTGGTATAGTCGATAGTCGATACACTCCTTGTCTATATCCTTTGTTGATTGTGAATGAGCCATTTTAATGTCACATGGTCAGCTACAGCATTGAAGTGACGGATCAAGTTTTTGAAGATCTGCCCCAACCCCTGCATGTAGATAAAATGACCTAAGAGTTATTATCTAAAAGGCATCCTCAGTTTCTTGAATCCATTCAAACATACAATTAGGACCACGAGCATGTGTTAATAAATTGGCAATTAAACATGGGGACCGATGAATTTATAATCCCAGGAACAGGCGCAGTTGTTTGACATAACGTTGTGTTATTTGACGATGACAGTGATTTTATATGCATCAATAGCTGCCGGCGCGCGAACGGAGTTGCCTTAAACGGTTACTCCACCTTGGATCCCGAAAAAAAGGGATAGACTAACTTGTGGTAGTACGCTCGTTTTATTTTGTAAGAATTCATGGTTATACCAATTGGAACTAACTTAACTCTAGCTCACCGCGGTGTGTCCTCCAGACTTTCGCACGACAATGAAAATGCAAAGTTTTCCAGGCTAAATTCCAACTAGCGATGCCGATAAAACAGTGTGCCTGCACACATTTAGCTAACAAATCGTATCACATTAAAACAGGACGCGTAAGCGGACTCGAATTCACGATGTTCTCATCTGTTGAGGTCGTTCTGTGTTCTCACAGAAGTCATTCGGTGCTACCTGCTAACGCATTCCGAGGATCCTTCTGTTCAACCTCAGCCCATTTCTTTTTAACGTTGACCAGCCTCTTGTACGCCATCTGTAGCAAAACAACGTGGTCGTCCTTCCAGAGTGGTGCCTTCGAGCTTCACTCCAAAGTTGGGACCGCGTTGCTGTAAAGCTTCATCGGCAGACGTGCATACCTATGCACGCCCTGGACATCCTGTCGACTCAATGTCTGCATCGGCAGACTCAGGCTCGAAACGGAATAAACGTTCTTTAGCGCATGGCGAGTAGTCTGTCCGACTCCACTTATCTGCAGACTCACCACGTTGGTAGGCTCTCTGGCTGACCTACCTCCGAACCATTGGATGTTTAGCTGTCGATGCTCTCCTTGTACCAAGATCCCTTCGCAGCTCGTCATCGATCTTCGTGACTGAGGATCCTTCGTCTAGAAGCGCCTGCGTATCCACCCTCCCACAAGCTCCGTACAGCGTAACGGGCAGTATACGGTACAGCAGGCGGCCTCCTTTGGTATCAACGCAGCTTAAAATCCTTTGAGTGGGGGGTCCCGCTTCACGCGGAGCACTTCTCTCTAGGCTGTATCTGGAAACTGCCCGCTGCTGGTTTCCCTCCTGGTCCCTGGGACCAAATCGTTGCGAAGGCATCCTGGCCGGTCTGCTTCTGGAATCTGCTGCGTGCTGGTTCCCTCCGTGGCGTCCCAAACCACCTCGCCGCTGCGGCCTCCGCGTCATGTAGTAGGCGATGATGCATCCTCCAGCATTCACTGATCTGGCACTCAGTTTCCATATAGCAAGTGTGAGAAGTCCTAAAACTCCTCACAAATCGAGGTGCAGGAGAGCTGCATAGCAATAGCGAAGAAGGCGGGAATGGAGTAGGAGTCTAGGGCAACCAGGTCAAACGGGAAAGAAAGAACCTAAAGTTGGCCAAGGATACAGAGGTCGAACGGTAAGTACGCGAAGAACTGTACCCCGGAACAAGTGAACAATCAGTGAGAACGCGAACGGCGCAGAACGACGGTCCCTGAGTGGAAAACTAGGCACAGTCAGAAGTGAAGCAAGGGAAGGACAACGAGAGAGCGACACCGTGCAGCCGACGGCGATGACCATAGGAATCTGTCATTGAAGAAGTCTGCAAATAAAGCTGTTCTAACCTAATACTCTGCCTTCTCTTTGGTCGGGCACACAAATCATAAACAACAACTCTTTGAGCTAGCCGTGCGACCCTTGGGGTTGTCGCAGAGAGAGACGCTGAAGCGAGTAAGGGAAAACAGCACCCCAGCCTTGCGCATGCTTATTCTTCCGTAAGAGTGCCGGAACCTGGGCCCCATAATAGCCCTGGCCGACGAGTTTGAAGAACTGGACACCCAAAAGAAACGGTTCGAGTTGGAGCGGACTCACTGGGCCCACCACCAGCGGGATTTCCCAAGAGCGGAGTAGAACGCGGTGTGCAGGAGGAGCCAAGAGGACACCACGGGTCCGTCGAGGCACGACACCAACGGGCGAGGGCCGGACTCGGTGCGGCGGGGGTTTGTATTAAACCCGGCACAAGCCTTCCGTAGGTGCGGAAGCCAAGATCCAACATTTTTTCCTGGGTTTGCGGAAGGATTCGACTCGAGGACCGTGGAGTGCTGTCCGAGATCGGGAAACGTCATGCGACCCCGGCCTCAGAGGGGCAACCAGGGTTCACAAGGTGCCGCCCCTCCAAATTAATAAGCAAACTGAAGGCGGAGGAAAGGCAACTGTCCGCCACAGTACTCATAGACGGAGTAGACGGAGCCACGGCTAGTTTCATCAGCTAAGAGCTGGCGGACAGGTTGCAGGTGGTGGGAGAGGTCGTAACCACGTGGAGAGAAGTGCGGATGGCGGATAGACGGTATGAGGAGGTCACATCGGTGATCGAGGTAGATATAGGAGGTATAAAGCATTTCCTAACGAGAGTGGGAGTAAGGATGGAGTGCGCGGGACAGAACGTTACTATACCAGTGGGTCCGGCGGTTCAGAGCAGGCCGCACGAGAGACTGTCAGTAGCGATCGTGGAGAGGTTGTCGGAATGCGCGGAGCAGGATGTCGACCACTTCCTAAGGTTGGCCGGTTTAGCAAGAGTGCAAGGGACATCAACAGTAGCGGTGCACAAAATAACAATGAATGACGATCAACCGGACAAGCAGCTTTACTACTCATGATGCAGGTGGAAATCAACGCCAAGGTCGACGAATTGTTGCAAAAAGGATGCATCGAGCCGTCAAGGAGCCCATACAGCTCACCAATAGTGATGGTGAAAAAGAAGACGTGTCAATGGAGGTTGTGTGTGGATTTTTGCCAGATAAACGCAAGGTCTGTGAAGAACGCGTACTCAATGCCAATGATAAACTACATACTGGACCAATTAAGGGAGGTGAAGTACATAAACTGAAGGCGGAGGAAAGGCAACTGTCCGACACAGTGCTCATAGACGGAGTAGACAGAGCCACGGCTAGTTTCATCAGCTAAGAGCTGGCGGACAGGTTGCAGGTGGTGGGAGAGGTCGTACCCTCGTGGAGAGAAGTGCGGATGACGGATAGACGGTATGAGGAGGTCACATCGGTGATCGAGGTAGATATAGGAGGTATAAAGCATTTCCTAACGAGAGTGGGAGTAAGGATGGAGTGCGCGGGACAGAACGTTACTATACCAGTGGGTCCGGCGGTTCAGAGCAGGATTTGAGGGACGGGTACTGGCAGATTCCGTTGGAGGCGGGAAGCCGGCAGTATACGGCATTTACGGTGCCGGGAAAGGGCCTGTTTCAATGGAAGGTAATGCCATTCGGACTGCACTCCGCGTCGTCAACGTTCCAGCGGGCGTTGGAACAGGTGATAGGACCCGAGATGATGCCTCACGCCTTCGCATATCAGGACGATATCATAGTAATCGGACGGACGCTACAAGAGCATATACGCAATTTGCAGGAAATTTTCCGGAGGCTGCAGGCGGCGAACATGAAAGTAAATGCGGATGAGTGCTAATTCTTCAGAAAGGAGCTGCAATACTTGAGTCACCCAGAAAAGGTGGCGGCAATAGCGCAGCTGAAGTGGCGTCGTGGTACAGACGTTTTGTACCCGATTTAGCGACTCTGGTACAGCCATTGAATGCCATCCTCAATAAGCAG